TTTATTTTAATCGAGAAATTCAATTAAACTGAGTCTTAAAAGATGGATAGGCATATTTTTTAATAATAAAGTAAAAGGTTTGCAAAACTAACCCTAATCAAGGTGACAAGCACCATCTGCTTGTTTTTCTATTAAATTATATAAAACAAGTATTAATAACCAGGTAATCCAGATCAGCTTCTAACTGGAACCATGCGGGGTTTTCAGGGCTAGTTACTGCATCGTTTCTGACAGCTGACAGACGTTTCAGTTCACTTGTGTTGATTCTGAGCTGCAGAAATCAAAGTGTTGCTCAACACAGATGAGTGTGTTTATCACAATCCCAAATGGAGTTTGTTTACATTTGTGCACACAGCTGTGCTAATGTCACAGTAATCTGTGGAAATGCAGACTGTCGTGTTTTAGGAATGGAACTAATATTTGTTTGCTTCTGTTTGTGTTGCTTTGTGCGTGAGGAGGCAGTAATCTTCCTATTTTTTGATTTTGCTTCTAAACTCCTACTGAATTTATCACACAAACAAAACAGTAGTGTATTTTCTCTCCTTTTCTCATTTGTGCATGTGTGCGTGCGTGTGTGTGTGTGTGTGTGTGTGTGTGTGTGTGTGTGTGTGTGTGTGTGTGTGTGTGTGTGTGTGTGTGTGTGTGTGTGTGTGTGTGTGTGTGTGTGTGTGTGTGTGTGTGTGTGTGTGTGTGCGTGTGTGTGTGTGTGTCCATCACAAACAGTAATTTGCTCCCACTGCTCTGTTTGGGACTCAGGTGGTGAGGAACAACGGGTCAAAGATAAAATATCTTTATATGGTATCTGAAGGGAAAGTGGAGCTCCTTCAGTGCAGGCAGAGAGGATAATTGACTGGTCCTCTGCACACATGTGTTCAGACATACTGTGAGCAAGTGTGCTGATGGTGTTACACAAACGTAACACTGGGGCTGTCAGGCAGAACAAGCTCTGAAACAAACAGCCTAATAACCAACTCTGCCTCACCAGTAGGTTGTTGCTGCAAGACAGCTTCATGTCCCTGCTTTCTATGTTTCCTCCTTCTCCGACTCTGACAAATCCTTACGAGGCAAAATGTATTTATTTGTTTATCAATAGTGTTTAGAATTAAACAGAACCATGGATTCAGTTATATTTCAGTTTTCTTAATCAAACATGCAGTAATGTATAATCCAGCTGAGTTTATTTTCACTTGCAAATAACCAAAGTTTTACTGGGAAATAACTTTGTAATGTAAACGAAAATGCTTAGGAAAAGTCCTTTGCCTGCGTTATTATGAACATTAAATAGTTGTTTTTTCTTTGCTTAAATGTGTTTTAATTAATGGGAGAAAATAATCCAGGTTACCTTAAATCAAACCATGCTGTATTCAAAATTATCCCGGACAGACCCCACCTACATATATTAATATATACATTAATTATACTTACACTTGTATATGTATATATATATATATATATATATATATATATATACTTGTGTATGTATATATATATATATATATATATATATATATATATATATATATATATATATATATATATACTTGTATATATATATATACTTGTATATATATATATATATATATATACATATATATATATATATATATATATGTATATATATATATATATATATATATATATATTATATATATATACATACATTAGGGATGTACCGATACTGTTTTCTGAGTTTGAATTAGCATTGTGCTAACCACTCGCTGCCAGTCAAATCGCAGCCTTCGCGATTAGAAAATCTCCTGTTGTCACATCGCAATTTAATTGCATATGCAATGAAACGTTCAGCCCTAGTTTGAGTCCTTGTGTATTTCTGCGTATACTGTAAAAAATTATATTTCATGGTAAACCATCGGCACGCTGCTTTATGGCACCATGCTTACCTCACATCTTTGTAGAATTTATTTTGTCTTCCTCGTTGCTTTTCTTTATTTTGTCTAATTGCTTTAGGTATCCAGCAAACCATTGAGCAAGAAGAAGGGCAGAACCGGTCATCGGCTGACCTCAGGATACGTAAAACACAGGTAACTACACTTCAATACAATATCTAGAACTGTGCTCTGCTTTTAAAGGGACTTTAACTTCATGTGCAGTAAATATGTTGGAAAACATCCATAATCCAAAATATCCCAGCAAGGTGTTTTGATCTGGAAAATACCTTAAAACTTTGCACCTATGAGCTGTTTTATTTAGGCTCAACTGTCTATAAAGCATTTGAGTTTTTTTATTCCAGATGCTTCAGATGTGTTTGATTTATTATCATTATCTTTATTCCAGTATAAACTGGTTTTGTGGATTTCCATTTTCCACTTTTACCATCCATTTATGTTACATTACTGCCCACCAATAGCCTGTTGTTCATTGTTGCCTCTCCAGCACTCTACACTGTCCCGCAAATTTGTCGAAGTGATGTCGGAATACAACACCACCCAGTCGGACTACAGGGAGCGCTGCAAAGGACGCATTCAGAGGCAGCTGGAGATCAGTGAGTAAACCTGGGACCCTGCAATAGCTTGTTGTTACGCTGCCTGAACACAAAGCTTATTTTTACAAAGAAACTGTTGATGCACGTGCACAGATTGAGTGAGCAAGTGCAAAGAATGTAGTTATTTCAATCTAATCCCCTCTTAACATGACCAGATATCTGAATGCTGATCAATGGATGTTGCTGTTTGTGAATCGGAATCATGTTATGTTTTACTGCCAAAAAAGCGAGTCTCACATTACCAGGAATTTGCTTCGATGGAATGGTGAAACATGCAAGTGAAGCAAGACAAGTAGGATACATCAAGATAAATTATAAATAATAAACATAAGAAGCGTAGTGATTATAGTGCAGATTGGTATGGTTATAATTTGGTGTTCAGAAGTCCTGCAGAGGGGAAGGAGCTGTTTTTGTGACTAGAGTTTCTGGTCCAAATGGACCTGAGCCTCCTGCCTAAAGGGAGTGGTCTGGGCTCCAGGATGTTATTGCTGCACCAGGACGCCAAATGTTCCACCTCTCCCCTGTTGGCAGACCCGTCCCCATCTGTGATGAGACCAATGAACTTGGTGTCTTCTGCGAACTTAACCAGCTTTGCAAACTAGTGACTGGAGGTGCACCAGTTGGTGAAGATGGACAAGAGCAGAGGAGAGAGGACGCAGTCTTGGGGGTTGCCCATATTAATGGTCCAAGTGTCTGAGACATTCCGTACCAGCCTCACGTGCTGTCTCCTATCTGTTAGGTAGTCAGTGATCCACCAGCAGATGGGGTCCGGCACAGCAAGCAGGGATAGCTTGTCCTGGAGGAGAGCTGGGCTGGGCAGACTGTGTTGAAAGCCGAGCTGAAGTGCACAAACAGAATCATAGCATAATCATCTGGTGTTGCAGGACGTGACGAGCTAAGTTGTTTGCATCAACTACAGATCTGTTGGCTCTGTAGGCAAACTGCAATGGGTCCAGTAGGGGGGCTGTGATGTTTCTGAGGTGCCTAATACATGACGGCTAATGTCAAGGCCATAAGTCTGTAGTCATTAAGTCCAGTGATCCTTGGCTTCTTGGGGACACTGGAACATCTGGAACATCAAGGTGTTCCAGATGCTGCGTTAGTGATTTGTAAAGAGAACAAAATTATAAAGACGTTGTCTTTCATGATTTCTTTCCCTATGTTCTTTTCCTTCCACACACTATATAGTGGGTAATTCTTAGCAGTGTTGCAAACCTGGAGGAGTGATGTATTTATTATTACTCTGTTGTCAGAGTGCACAAAAAGTACAAAGTCTAATTTTGTGAAAGTCTTCACAAAAGTTTGAATATCAAAGAATGAGCACATAAAAATTTAGAACAAGCACAACTGTAGTTAAAACTGCAAAATACACCATTAGTTTTGTAGATTATATTCAAGGATCACTATGGAATACTTTCTAACACACACACACACACACACACACACAGACACACACACACACACACACACACACACACACACACACACACACACACACACACAATTATTACTCTTTTATAAACACTCCCTGTAAGAAATATAAATGAGCAAACTATATTATAGAAATTACATTATTAAACACCTTTTTAAACTACGTGGACTGATTTTTAACTTTTTAAAACTGTGAAAAAGGTCATATTGGCAGAGTTGAATGATATAAGCGTTTGAAACTTTCGCATTTGGGGGAGAAACCCTAGTTGTTTTGTCCTTTTATGTTCATGTGCTTCATTCGCTATTCACTGCATTTATAGTTGATTAGAATACTCTTTCTTGGCAATGAATAGTAATTTTAAACAGTTTTTAGAGAGATGTTCATTGAGATATTTTACTTGCTACATGTACAACCACACACAACATCTCCTATTTGTGTCGGGCTGTGTGTGTAATGTGATCTGACGGGTATTAACTGCAGGCCCCAGGTTCCTGGACACAACTACTGACTCTACCACGTCATTGCCACGTCAGCTGCCCCTACATCCACCACATTAGAGTCACCTCAAAATGTGCAAATGCAGAGACGAACAGCATGACTCATTTTGGGGTAATAGCAGAGGAGAGCGAGGGCAGTGATGCTGCTGGCTGCTTGGCGTAGACGTAATTTCCTCTGGCCATCTGTAAGTCCAGAGTGCACGCATGAAGCCACTTTGAATATGTGTGATCCACCCCTCGCTAAAAAAAACAACACACACACACACACACACACACACACACACACACACCTCATCAGATAAAACACACCTGACTCACTTTTTCCTCAGAGCTCATTCAGATCCGTTTGGGTTTGATTTGTCTGCTGGTGGAATCACAGGAGGCCTTCGCTGAGCTCACCTGTCGCCAAGGAGGGGATTTGACACAAAGCACAGAGGCAGACGAGCATTAGTGGAGCACAGAGAAGACAAAAAAGCGCCTCTGAGCGTTTATTGAAAAAAAGTTTTCCCCTCTCTGATTACAGTTTTTCGTAAATATTATTTTCTAATCCAATAAAATCTCCTTTGAGTTTGTAGCACCAAGGTCGTGTGTCGCTGCTGTTCCAACACCTTTGACTAGTTTGTGTGTGAATCAATAAGTGTCACATGCAGAGGGAAACATTTACTGGTTTCTCAGATCGAGTATTGATCCTGCTGCTGCTTCGCCCTTTTCCTGCTCACCTCCACTCAAACCTGCTGGATACAGACATAAAAATAACAAGAAACGGCATGACACACGGAGAACGTGTTAAGAGAGTATTTCAGCCATCGTTTGCTTATTTAGCTGGTTGCTGCAGTGAGACTCATGTTGTGAACCAGACTCAGAAAATAGGTTCAGAATTATTCAGGCACAATGGAAGTTAGGATGTTCTTCCTGTTGATCCCAAAGTATTCCCAGGTCATGAAAGGATTTATAGTCCCTCCAGCAAGTTATGGGTCTGCCCCAACGTCTCTTCTCATATGTGCCCATAAACCCTCCAGAAGGAAGCAACCAGTTCGAGCTGCTGCTCAACTCCCAGCTCCTCCTTATTGATGGAGCTCCATCAGCTGCTTGTGTCCAGGATCTCCTCATGATCCAAATATCATGAAAGTACTTTATTGCTGGAACATAGACAGACTCTAGTTTTTCCTTTTGGCTTTGGTCAATATTTGACTTCATCATGTGTGAACAAGTCTTTGAGGCAACGACCCACTGCCAAGCCTGATGGTGCATTCCACGTTTTTCCAGATAACTGGCTCAGAACCACTGAAGCCACGCTGAAGGTCTTCTAGAGTCATAAATCCAAACTGAAAGCACCTTATAACTTACGCTTTCATTACGGTGGCACAGGAGTTAAGTGCTCGCCCTGTAATCGGAAGGTTGCAGGTTCGAGCCCCGCTCAGTCTGTCGCTGCTGTTGTGTCCTTGGGCAAGACACTTCACCCACGTTGCCTGCTGGTGGTGGTCGGAGGGACCGGTGGCGCCAGTGCTCGGCAGCCTCGCCTCTGTCAGTGCGCCCCAGGGCAGCTGTGGCTACATCGTAGCTCATCCCCACCAGTGTGTGAATGTGTGAATGGGTGAATGACTGATTGTGTTGTAAAGCACCTTGGGGGGGTTCCAGGACTCTAGAAGGCGCTATATCAAATACAGGCCATTTGCCATTATTCTGTGAGTTTTGTCAACCAATTTGAATACAAATTAAAAAAAATTCTGCTCCTTGTGACCCAGCTTCACAATATCACATGTTTCCTAGCTCTCTCAGCTGTAATAAAACATCCGTGATACCTGGAGCAGTGTCATCTGATAGGTGAAACCACAAAACAAATCACTGTAAATGAATGATTTTTGATTTAATAAGATTTATCTCATTTCTGTCTCAACGTTCATACAAGCTATTTAATTACTCGCAAGCAACAGCCAATATTTATTCAAGTTTAATGCCAAGAAGTGATAGACTCAGCAGGAATTTAAGAAGGCAACATATTTAGTAGAAACATGCTTAGTATGTTTTTAAATGGTGTCGCCACTAACATGAATCTATTTCCAGAATTCACAGCAGGTCATTGATCGCTAATCTCAGTCAGTCTTTCTTTAAAAATGAAGAAACTGGCTGTGAAGAGATAGTTGTCTGGTTCAGCTATAAATTAGCACATATGAACAGATCTGATTTACTATTATCTCTACATCACTACCAATAAATCCAGTAACTTACAGGGTATCCGCGGGTCCTTAAAAAGTCTTAAAAAGTCTTAAATTTGCTTTTCCAAATTTAAGGCCTTAAAAAATCCTTAAAAATTACAAATAATCCTTAAATACATTTTCCAAAGGTCTTAAATGTCCAAAAACCCAATAAACAAGATTATTTTATTTCTATAAAATTTTCATAAATTTCTAGTTAGTGTTCAGCATTTTTTGTGTACGATGTTGGCGTAAGTGGAACCGTACACATTCAGATGGTTGTGACAGGGGCCTATTTTTAGATGAGCACATTAGCTGGTTAAGCTAGTGGGAGCTTGCGCCATGGGGAAATGAAAGTTTAATGGTAACTGGATAGCTTATCCCACGTTGGCAACGTGGTTAGTACCGGTTCCAGGCAATAGCTGGAAATTATAGCTTAAATTTAATTTTTAAAAATAGCTTAAATTTGGTCAAAATGGCCTTAAAAATGTCTTAAAAAGTCTTAAATTTGGCTCCCTTAAACCTGCAGATACCCTGAACTTAAGTCTAGTCAGAAAATCGCAATCTCACACAGGTGCACTGCGGAGTTTGCAGAGGGTGCTGCAAAGAGTGCACCATGTGGAAGAACTGCAGTCAGTAAAATGCACAGTGACATTCAATCCTATTGTTTACTCATTATGTATTATTAGGGATGTCCCGATCCGATCACATGATCGGAAATTGGCCCCGATCACGTGGTTTCAGACTGATCGGGACTCTGGCTTTACTTCTTGATCCAAGCCCCGATCCTGAGTTGGATACTGGGTTCAAATCACAGGAGAGCAACTTCAAATTAAAATTCAATTCAAAGATACTTTATTAATCCCAGAGGGAAAT